TTTTCCATTTAAAAAAGCCTCTCCCATGAGCTGCATCTGCATCTTTACTGTTTGTAATAGCAGTAAAGTAACGTTCTTGCAGGATTGGATGACCTTGAGTTGCTGAGGTGAAGATGAAGGCAGGGTTTCCCACTCTCCTAAAGACTCGGGGGTGCTGTGGAGGGGACAGCAGTCTGGAGATACTGCACTCAGCTCTACAACATTGCAGTAAATACTAAATTTACTATTTCCCTCTGCAATGTCCTTAACTTTGCTAAATAGCAAAGGGGCTGTGCTTTTAAAGAAAAGGAAGTGAGCCACAGGCAGACTTGAAAGTATTTAATTAAATGTGATTCTTTAGGGCCGGCCAGATAGCTCAGCAGACTAAAGTGCCTGCCTAGGCAGACTCGGGAACCGGAGCTTGATCCCTGGCACGTCGTGCTGGCGCTGTCCCCAGGGCGCGCTGAGCCAGTGATTGAGACTGAGCATGGTGGTGCGTGCCTGTAATCCCAGCACTTGGGAGGCTGAAAACAGGAGGATGTGTATGTGTATACTTTAAGGTCTGATGCTATCCCATGTCCTCATAGTGCAGTCATCAAAATTGGGGAGGCAGCACCCATACATCCTACCCTCTAATGCTCAGAGCTCATCCAGCTTCCCCAGATGGACACTTTAATGCCCTTTGTAGCTCCAGGATCAAACCCAGGATCCCAGTTGCATTTAGTTGTCCTAGGTCCTCAGGCTCCTTTAGCTAGGGACTATTTTCATGATCTGCTGCCAGCTGCTCCCTGGCTGGGGGCCCTGATTCTGAGCAGGAGGCAGTCTTCCTGGTGTAGATGTTCCCACTGTGGCTGAGTCAGGCTCCCAGCTTTTCTGTGACTGAGCTGTAGAGGTGGGATGAGACTCACTAGCGCTTTCAAGAGTGGGACTGTGTGCTGCCGGCTGGCTCTCGGGCTCCACTGACTGTCCAGTTGCTTGCCTTCATATTTCATGAGCATGATCTTCTTCCTTTGAGTTGAAGGTAGTTACTGTGCAGACTGTCCTTCAGTGGGGACTATTTGCTGTTCCGTCTGGTTTAGATTCGCCATATGCTCCCTGCAGGAGAAACAGCACAGAGGAGATTCTGTGCTCATCTCGGTGTGGCTCTGATGGTGTTAGTAAAGGTGGTCATTTTTATCATGTGGTAAGATGGTGCATAACCAGGTTTCTGCATTGTAAAGTTAAGTAATATGTTTTTAAAAAATTTTATTGATTTGTTTGATACAGGGTCTCGCTATGCAGTTCAGACTCATAGTGATCCTCCTGTCTCAGTTTCTCCAGTGCTGGGATTACACCACCATGCCTGGTTCTGGGGCCAGCATGGCATGTGGTACCAGAGATTGAACCCAGGTCCTTGCACTTGCCAGGCAGGTGCTTAGACTGCTGAGCTATTTCCCCAGCTCAGTAATGTGTTTTGTAACTTATTTTAAAATCAGCAAGCATTTTATAGGGAGATACATTAACTATCCATTTCTTCCTTAACCTTTTACTTCCTATCTTTTGCATCCATTGATGATTTTTTTATTTTTCTTCTTATTTATTTATTTGTTTGTTTTGAGACAAGGTCTCCCTTTGTATTTCAGGCTGGCCGCAAACTCTACGCAGCCCTGACTGGCCTCACAGCGATCCTCCTGCCTCAGCCTCTGGAGTCAAAATGCTCCCTCCCAGCTCAGACCATTGATGATTCCTGAGAGAATCAAGTATTCCTATTATGGATTTATTAGTGCATGTCTGCAGTACATAATATTTCTATTTGTCGTGTGGAGTTGGAACAAGTAC